AATTAAATCACAAATACTACAAATCAGTTTATAAATGATTTTGGAACTAAAAGGTTCAATATTTAGACTTTGGCTGTCAATAACATATGGGACAAATATCTAAATTTGATTTTGCTGCTTGTGGAGGTGGACAATCCCTGATGCAGCTTAAAGGGAAGCCATGCATGGATGGATGGATGGAATTAAAGTTGTGTTCATACTAGGGGTGCATGATATATTGATGTTGGCATCGGTATAAACTGTTACTCATTTTTTATACATTGTTTTTGAGCCCTTTATAAATAATGCACTAAAGGAAGGCATCTGTCTAACTATAAATATCAGTGTAGTGTGGTACTCTTGTGTTCTCAACAATAGGAAAGCATTCAATAAATATATGTTTGAGCTCATTTTTGGAAAATATAAACCCTATTGAAAGCGTTCGGGTTGAGTAGCTGTAGGTCCGACAGCCCCCACCCTAAGAGCGTCCCCACTAACTTTTATGACAAGGTTAGAACCTTGGTTCGGACACAGTCAGCCTGTATGAGCTATGAGAACAGCAGCTTTTAAACAGCATGCACGAGGAGAAATTGACTACTGTATGGATTTAAGTTTTTATGCATTTTTTCTTAAGTAGAGAAATCACAAAAATCTTCCACAATACCTTTAATTCAACCACACTTCTTCCTTCCACTCAATTTTCTGTGAGGTTGCCATTGTAGATCTTATAAGTTTTGTAGGTGTGGACAGACTTACCACCTTCTCATTATAGATCCTCTTCCCACATGGCAGAGTGGGGTCTGTGTAGAAAAGCTCCTCAGGACACATTGGAAAACCTGAAGAAAAATTAAGCTGAGTTAATGTTGCCTATAACCCAAATATTTAGATGATCAGTGACTCACGTAGTTGAGCGTCTCCATGACAGTGATGGTTTAGGGGTGTGGGAAGGTAAAGAGGGAGGAAGGAGGGGTGATGCAGGGTTCTGTTGGAGATGGGGGGCAGGAGGGTCTGCCTGGATCTCTGTTTTAGGACCAACGGCTCATTAAGTTAACAGAACCGGACCGGAACATTAAATACTGAGCTAAACTCACCAGTAAACGTTCTTCTGTGAAGCTCATGGTCGTCTAATTGCTTGCTTGAAGAAAAAAACAACTCGATTTTTAGGTCAAACGTAAAGTTTTGCATTTTCGCTAGCGACATCTGCTGGCCAGATGACGGAATTACATTCGATTGAATTGGACGTTAAGACTCCTGTAATTGTTTTCCCTTGAAACAAACAGAATTACCAAGTTGTTAGATGCTTTTGGAAAAATATTGAAGTAATTTCTTCCAGCAGTTATACCCTTCGGTTACATAGACACTAAAATTAACCAGTTTCAGTCATCACAAAATGTACTTTAGGCGAATAAGTCCACATTTTACCACAGAGGTTCATGTAGAGATGCAGACTAGATTTACTTGGGGGAGCAAAGTATGGCAATATTTTGGCACCAAAAAAATCTAAAATGTGGGCTGCAGAACTAATTCATTTACTTTAAACTGAATGTGGGTCCATTGAAAATTAGGCTTTTCATTTTGTTTACACAAGTGTAAAACAACAAATTTTGTTTGGAACAGCTCTCTGGACAATTTTATCTTTTTAAAAGTGCAGCCTTGGAAAAATGGTAAAAAATTTTAATTTACCCAAAATAATTCCTTACCAGGGAGAAGCAGCTAAAATTAGCTGCAAAATACACGTCAAAGACAAAGCCTTTTTTTTATTAGGTCAATATATGTTCAGGATTACATGAATTTAAACGAACCACAACTTGAACCGTTTTTTAATTAATTTGACTTGGTTGCACATATGCTTTAAAACATTTATCAGATGAGTGAAGCAATCATTTAAAATAAAATAAAAAATAAAAAAAACAGCCCTCATCCTATGATCCCAGTCCCACTTTGCCAACTTTGCAAGACTTAAAGGGGAACGCCATGTTTTTTTTGTTTGTTTTTTTTTACATTGGGGCCTTGATTTTACATTACTCCATCATGTTCTACTCACCAATATTAGTTTTGTGTCATTTGGAGCTGTTCTGAAGATATTCCATTAGGTTATATCCAAGTAACGTCTTCCTATGGGCAACGACTTGAAGGCACAAACTAAACTGTTCATAATGTATCATTTATGGTACGCCAGCATTCATAACATGTAGGCGAATCCCTGTTCCCCAGACATCCGCGGTTATATTTTTTATATTTATATCTTAAAAACAAAGCGGAGTGTGTATGATGTCATCCGCGCGCCCCAGCTACCATTCATCCATCCTGTCCACTGAACTGCTGCTAGTTTTACTCACATGCCTGGAAGATGTCTAGTGCTACTACCACAGATGATCTCGCTCTCGAAATGGAATTGAATGATTCAGATTAGCTAGCAGAATGAATAGAAGGGGTAGAGCGTAACTCCAGTCCTGTGCCAAGATGACGTCATACACGCGCCACTTTGTTTTTAAAAAATTTATAGAAAATAACGGCAGATGTCTGGGGGACAGTGATTCACCTACATGTTATGAATGCTGGCGTACCATAATAAATTATGAACAGTTTAGTTTTTGCCTTCAAGTCATTGCTTGGATGTAACCTAACAGAATATCTTCAGAACAGTCCAAACAAAACTCATGGGCGAGTAGAACATGTAACATAAAATCAAGGGGCTGATGTCTTAAAAAAAGTGTTCCCCTTTAAGTCCTAAGCATTGCATAGGACTTAACCTTTGACATACCAGTATGCTAGAAATTCACATTGTGGCTAAAAGACAGATCTCTTTATGGACCCACTCGGCGCTTAAGAACTTTAATCTTTCTGAAATAAATTCTTTTGGCATCCCATTGTAAAAGTTGTAGGGAAGTTCCAAATTCTCCAGAGTGGTGCCCGACTTTACATGGGTGAATAAAGTGAATGTGATAGGTCGATCAAGAAGATTGTGGCAGAAGGTTTGCAGGAAAGTTCTGTTGTGGCCGGTTTCGCCGAAGCATCTTGCAAACCAGATAGCAACTTGGTGCTAGTAGGTTCTCAATGGGGAAATTACATTGGGAGTAGCACTTTGCAACGACACTGTCAAGGAACGCTATGGACAGTGGAAACATGCAAGACAGGAGAGTTTTGTGCCCGAGGCCATAGATGAGTCTGTCATTTTTATTTTTGGAGGAAAGTAGGGATGAAGTTGTGGAAGAGGATGGCAGAAGCTTTGTTAGGTGTAGAAGGCTTACAGCCGTACATGTTTGAGCCCTTGCCTCGCAACGCTGCCAGTTGTTAGCTCTACGCGAAAGACAGACATCCATCCCATTAACACTGAGACGGAACCCAGTGGTAAATTCTTTCAACCACTGCGCATATTAGCTGCGACATGAATCAATGCTAAAAAAAAAAATTAAATTTGACAGATGACCGTTGATATACCATTGGCCAAATTTAGGGTTACAAACAGGCCTGCGTAACAGAACTTTTTTTTATAGAAAACATTGCGACAATATGGTCTGCAGAGATGGGAAGTACAAATACTTACTGTACTCAAGTAGATTTTTCTGGCGACTTTTTACTACTTTACTACTTATTTTCACAAATATCTGTACTTTCTACTCCTTACATTTAAAAAAAAAAAAAAACGGCTCGTTACTTTAGAATCATTTCAATGGAGTTACCGTTATTTTTCACGTCATCAATACCAAATTGGATGGGAATCTACGTTGCATTTGATGCACCACTACAAGATAAGGTGACAGATTCGGCGGTATTCATTCGCGGCAAATCATTGCAGTTTGGTGGTGGCGTTAGCATAGTAGTATGGACGACGAGATGATTGAAAACACAAGTTTAATCAGTACTTCTACCAGAGTATTTTTTAATACAAGTATCTACTTTTACTCAAGTACGGAAAGTGAGTACTTTTGCCATCTCTGATGGTCTGAGAAACACATTTATATACATGTTTAAGCCAGAATGATTTAAAATTTAAATTAGACTTTGAACTACCAGTTTTGTAAAAAATTAAAACCACAGAACTTCATTCAGTATTTCATGCTTTATTAGTCAACATTTTACATTCCTCCTCAAATATGTCGAGGAAACTGAGCTTGTTTGGGTCCTCTATTACCTGCAAGAGAGGAAAGAGTGTTTCCAGTTATCAAGGCTCAAATTTTGACTCCTTTGAATTTTGTCCCTCACCTTTACCAAAAGAACCAAATTGGTTTTGAACCCTGTAAACTTTAATATAGCGAGCTGTTGGGTAGAAAGGAGGCAGGTGCAAGTTGGGAGATCTGGTTCTTCGAGGAGCAACTGTGGTCGTTTCAGCCGTGATCCTAGCAGGAGCTGGTGCAACGGGAAGATAGATGAAGTTTAGTAAATGGTTTGAGCACAAGTCTTGCTCAGCTTTTAAGCTGCAAACATACCTTTTGCATGGTCCACAAAAGGAATAATGCTTCCCACACCCTCCTTGTCAGATTCAAATTTGTGAGCCGAGAAGAGGCGGTAGAGACCCACTAGTGGATATCTGCATTGCACAGTAATTCTATGGGGAAGAAACTGAAATTATTGATTTTTCTTTAAAATAGCATGAATTATAGCTTTGGTACATACCCTTCAGTAACATTGTTGGAAACAAAGTAGATCTTGTTTTGATAGGTCACATTTCCCTTTTCCAGCTGGAAAATAGGAGAGTTTTAATTCATGTGCTCCATCTGGCTGCCCAAGGAGAAATAAATCCCTGCAAATCAGTTTTACCTTTACTATGGAACCACAACTGTGAAGTGGGAATGAGAAGAGTACTCGTGTGCCATCCACTTCTTTAGGTAGACAGGCTCTGTTAATGAGGTGAGGTTTTGTTGGGATCTCATGGAGGACCAGAGAAAGATCAGCCACCACAGTCATCCATCCAGTAGTTGAACACACTACAGAGAGGAGCAGGGTTTATAAAAAAAGAAAAACCCACCCTAGCTCCCAATAAAGTAAAGCCAAGTATTCTTACTAATAAACTCTGTGGTATTAAATAGGCATGTCTTAATTGTTGAAGTCTGTACTTCTGAGGTGTCACGGTCCCTCATGAGGATTGTAAATGTCCCAAGAAATCCTTTCAGGCTGACATTCTGGAGAGAAAAATGGAAAATGAAGTTTAATTTCATAGCCTTAACTAAACCTTCCCTCATCCAGATAGGCAATGTCACCAATGATACCTGGTATTTGTAGCCATGTGTAAACAATGGTACACTGAGCAACAGCCTCTGGCTATCATTGCTCATGGTGTAGCCATGCATGGCTGCCAGCGCCGGTGTCAATCGGTGAGGGCCAATGCTGATGTACCACAAGTAATCAAAAGGGCGATAGGCCAACTTGAAGTCAATCCCAGATGCCGTACAGTTTGCGTCAAAAGCTGGAGGGGCTGCCAGATAAGACATTAAAACCTAATACTTAATTCAGATAATAGTTCAAGTCAAACTCATTACTTACAGACAGCCATTAGTGCAGTAACTGAGACAGTGTGGTGGTATGGCTCATCTCCAGGTAAGGCAATCAGGGTGTAGTTTATGTCCAGTTTGTGCAACATGGCTGCATTCTCTTTGGAAAACTGTAGGACAAATGTTAGTAGGCACACATTGAAGAGACAACTGGAAGGTGCACAAAGACACTTACCTCCTGAATGACTATTGGGTCATTCAACAGTACTTTCAGAGTGTAGCTATGAGTTTTATTGGGATAACTGACTTCTGTAAGGGTGTATGCACTGGTGTCACTAAGGGGCACTGCAAATTCATGCCCGTTTAGCTTAACAGATGTCAGCACAACATCTCTGGGAACTTTGCCCAGATAGATTGTAAATGTGCCCTCTTTCACATCAGTTTGGTCTTCAGTGAAAAGTGAAGATGGCAAAAGGGGAGTAACAAGAGTCCTGTGAAACCGGAGTGCCGTCTCTTCATGATGCTCATCCACTGAGATTTGTTTCAAGTAGAGGTTGAAGATGTAGAATTCAAAGATGCCGTTGCTTACATAACTCTGGAAGATTCATAAGCCAGAGTCAAATTTGCAAAAACATGTGCAACCAAGCCCCACTAAATGCCTTGAAGTTTTATTTTACCTTCCTGTAGCCTCCTTTGGCATTATAAGGGATTCCGATTTGGACGGTCGAGTTCTGCCGTGCCATAATGAATCCAGCCTGCTCTGCAGCAGCCTGCTCTACAAGGTTACCGTCGAGTCCCAGACTAATCTTTGTGCTGCCAAGACTGGGATAGAGGGCTTCTGGGGTGTCCCAGATCATGTAGCCACCCTCAAATGACCCTTCATCTGTTGAGAAAAAGGCAACCCCATTATTAATTAGCAAAAATGTTTTTATTAGAAGTCCAAGTTACCCACCCATTGAGCAAGCAGCAACCAGGTCAACCATGACAACAATCCAGCTCTGCCGTGAGAACACTGTTGCGTGGATCACTTCAACTGGGACACCATTCAGCTAAGAAAATAGGTTGGTTAAAACCACTAAACAAAAGACGCGCTGTAATCTGCATTGGTCACCTACCTCAGTGCCGTACGATTCTGGTTGACCATATGGTGTGCGAAACACTATTCTGTCATTGATTATGTCAAATACATAGCCCTCCTGTCGAGCTTGAGACAAGTTCATAGGTGGCATCTGTTCCTCTGGACTTTGGAAGGTCACCTGCCATTCCTGGGTTGAAGCACTATACAGCTAGAAAGATGGCAAAGTATTAAAGCCATTTGAGCTATACATCTATATATAAAAATTAAAAAATCAGCAGCACATACAGGGCTGAGTGAGCTGAAGTCATCACTTAACCCAGATGGACAGGGAAGTTCACTCCTTACAGAAACCTGTAAAGAAATACATTGAGATGGGCTAAACCACAGATGGGCAACGTTCTTTAAAATGCCAGTATGTGCATCCCTGCTCCAACAACTAAAACAAAAGGCCAGATTACCTCCTTGGCATATCTGCAGGTTAAGCAGAGGCCCAGCTGTTAACCATTTATGGAAAGTGTGCAAGCAAAAGCTGCAGGCCAGGGGCACTTGAGGACCGACATTGCCTACCCCTGAGCTAAAAAAACCACAAGAGGTCATTTACCTCCATGTAGTTGACCTCACATGTAACCTCTCTAGGCGACCAAGGTGGAGGGAGAGGACAGGTCTTATTGAGTTCATAGTAGGCATCCACCCCATCGTAGGAGGTGATCAAATTAAATCTGAAAGAGAATCCACCAACCTGCAAAAAAGAAAAAAAAAAAAAAAATGTAGTCAACTTAGTTATACAAGGATATCCACAAAAAGGTTAGAAATTCTTTCAGTACCCTCTCAGTGTGACAGCTGAAGTAAGATGCTCTGAGCTCTACAAGGCCCAGAAAAGAGAGGACGCTGACACTGTAACCACACTTTGCTGCATAATCCTCAGTGATGGCATATGCACCTGTCCTATCTAAAACAGGTTAGAGTAAAGTTAGGCAAGGTAGTCATTAATTGTTCACTTCTTTGTGTGTAGAGCATTTTAGGGATTTCTTCTAGGCTCACTGCAGATATTGGGCACGTTTGAGTCAGAACAGAAAAACTCACCAACAGCCTCAAAGCGAGGAGCTTCTCCAGTGGCTGTGAGGTCAACAGCTATCATGAAGTAACGATCATGACACTCCATTTGAAGAACTCCTGCAGAAACAAAGAGGTCACAAATAAACCATGTTTGCAAGTGTCCCAAAAGAGGAATATAAAATGGATACCAACCCTCCACAACAAAGTCACATCCTGCAGTGGACCACAAGGACAGAAGCAATGCCACACTGCAAGTACAAATGAAAGTATAAATGAGAATACACATCAAAAGACAACCTAATGGACATATAAAACACACAACCTACCTAAACATCAGCTCAAAAGCCATAGCTGCTGATGTGTTGGTGTCTAAAGCTAGCTGGGTTGCTAGCAAACTACACCTACTGACCACCACAAGCACAAGTGAACCACTTGTTCATCACCAAGCATACACCATGAAGCTCTGTCTCCTATCCCCTCTTTTTAACCAGTTTCTCCACCCAGCAACAATCAGCCTTTTCCCAAGGTGCAGCCTGTTAGGAATCAAGCCACAGATGTTCCTAATATGAATCAGGACAAGTGAGACTTTAATCAGGATTAAGGACTAGAATTAGACCACTATATTTGACCACTAACTTCTAACTTGAATGAAGAAGCTTATAACACTTTTGGATTCACAGTTGCACATTTCCTTTGCCTTTTCTTTGCCTTCCAAGTGTCTATACTGTTTGTTCTCTGCCTCTGTCTTTAATTGAAAGCAATTATATTAAAGAAGCTTCAGGTCTCATTGTAACACAAAATCTGTTCTTTCTTTTGGATAAATTTTGACTTGCAATTTGTACTTTTGTGTAACCCGGAGACAATTTTCAAAGTGGTATTATTTGAAACCCCCCTTCCCCCATCCAGAATGTTTAACTCCACTGCATTTGGTACGCACTGATGGTACCTTATAATGGTACCTTTGAACAGCTAGTATGTATTTCTAAGTAGAACAATTTATTTGATGGTATCAGTGTATGGACAGTTATTTTAGAGTCAACCACCTTTGAATGGTTATATAGTTTCTCAGTTTCTATTTTAGCTATATTTTTATCTGATGCCCTTCTTTAAGTATGTTCTTTTCCTTTGAATTAAAAGAATCAAATCAACCTTTGCTGGTTTCGGCAACTTAAGTTTTTGTTTGCTAATAGTGATAGCATAACTTTACCTAGCATAATTATTTTCTTTAGAAAAGTTCTTGAGAATGAACTCACTCATGTTAAATTAAAGAAGGCTCAGGTTATCCAGAGCTATCTCTATAGTTATGCTGCTATAGGCTTAGGCTGCTGGAAGACATAGGGACAAGTTTTCATCATTCTGCTTCATTCTACCTCTATTCTTGCATTCTGCAATATTTGTTAGTTCAAACTCTAACGTTATGCTCTCTATTTTTTCGCAACAACTCTGTTCCTGTTCAGCTGGGACACCATCCTGGGGAGAAATATCAGCTGTGCTGCTGCCATCAACACCTTTGTTTATAGATGTTGGAGCTTGGCCTTATTTTCAGTGTAAGCCTGTTTCTCTTACTATGTGCTCTCTTCATTCTCTGACATTGGAGCTGGCTTGGAGCCCGTCTGCCTGCTGTGTTACCTGAATGGGGCTGCCTGTGGAGCTGGTTGACAGTTACCTTTTGTATCTCTGCTTCTTTCTTTATGTCTGCTTCTTTCTTTATGTCTACTTCTGGCCGCTCATACTGAGCCTGGTTCTGGAGATTTCTTTTTGTGGAGTTTTCCTCTCCACTGTCACTACAAGCATGTGTGATGTAAGGGATTGCTGAAGAATCAATAAGCCGATGCAATCAGCTGATCTTCATTAAAAACTTTGAATCAAAGGGAATGTGTGATTTGTTGAATTGTCTCTGTAAATTGCCTTGAGATCAGATGTGTTGTGAATTGGCACTACATAAATAAATTGAATTGTATTGCATTAAACAGACAGCTTTTTGATACTTATATGTTTGAATAAGGTTTGAAACTCTCAAGTGATTATGTTGTTGCATTAGCATTACATAATGAAATCCACCTAACTGAAAAAAAAAACTTTTGTGGGCTGCTCCAAGAAGTCATGTTTTAACTTTATCAAGATGGAAATTGAAACTAATCTTTTAAGCCTTCACAATTCCACAATTCTTAAGAGCCAAATAAACAAGATGTTTATTTTTACCACCAGATGCACATCATTAGAAAAAATATCTATCCTTAGTTTAATCTGCTAGACATGAAGGGCCTAACATTAGCCCCTGTTAATTACAGTATTGATGTGGAAACACATCACAAACAAAATGTTTCCATTTCTATTTTAGCACTGAATATTTATCTATGCTGATTTCTAACAGTGTTTTCTGTTCCCATTATAGTGTAAAACAAAAAATGAGTTGGTAATGTTTTTCTCATACCTGTATATGTATAGATAATAATGCTCAGATGTTTTTTTTATCATCTGACTTGTGAGCATTTTAGTTCTGTACAGACACATAAACTGACTCTGACTGAAAAATATTTTAAAATCATAAAACAATTTGCATGAGTGCTTCATCAGTACTTCATCATACTTTGACACACCACAGACAGCAGGGGGCAGCAACAATAAGCTTTTTATAGTATTAAGGTTCAGCAAAACCTGGCTCAGTATAAATATGCTGCAACTCAGTGAGATTTTAGAGGAGAGAGTAGAAATTGAAAAACTTGAGGAAAAAGTAAACACTCAATGGCAGCAGCTGCTTCAAAGAGTATCCTGAATAACTGAAGGTCTTTGAAAGCAATATCTCAGCCTATGATTATGGTCCTGCTACGAGGATTTGTACATTACCGTGGTGATGCACAGGTACTTGCATAGGTCGGACTGAGATAGACCCCAGGTCTATTTAACGGGACTACACAGAAATTCAGCAGTGATGTCATGGATCTGGCAGGAAGAGGTATGTTGTTACAAAGCAGAACTCATCCGCTTTGGGGGAAATACAAAATAAAATCTGTTAATCGCATGGGAAAACAGTCAGTTTTTGAGTTGCATAGAGCAAATAGACCTAAAGCAACCAGACTTGTGCAAAAACGATCAATCAAACATTAAAAAAGGAGACTTGACCCATGATAGGAATCCACGAGTACAGAAAACAGAAAAAGTATAGCATCTCCCACCTCATATAGGAACACAGCACTAGTGAAACATCTGACATCAACACAGATCATTTGTGTAAGCGAAGCCATTGATCAATTCTCGTGGTGCTGAGTTTTGGTACCCAGCAGTCTACACATGATTCAGATCCTGTCCCCAGAAAAAGAGATAATGCTCATGAATGTAAATGTTGGGAAAATGAGAACATGGCCATGCCAGTGTAAAATAAGACAAATGTTTAGAGCTAATTGTATGGCCTGACTGAAGTGATATCATCTTGCTTCTTCATCAGCTACTTCTCTAATCCCTTCAGCACACACAATGATCTATAAATGGCTTTTCTGTCAAACCTAGAACAACAGCCATTACTTGTTTTAAGTTTGAACCGTAATGATGTTCAAACTATTAACCATGTCGAAAAAAATTGAAAATTATATAGTTCATAATTTTATAGTCTACCTTAATAATGTGGAGGAAAAAAAAGATCTCTTTTGGATTACAGCTTCACATTCTCTGTAATCTCTTGATGACCCCCAGGAAGAGAACAACATTTTAGCAGTTGTAACCTATTGTGTTTTTTCAAGCCGATAGTCCAGTACAGCTACCTGACAAACTTAACAAGTATATTTGCTTTCCGATATCATTTAGTTGAACCCACCTCTGAACACTACTTTTTTCACACAACAATATCATTCACCAGGTCCTTACTCAGATTTTTAGATGAGTTTTCAGCCTTCCCATCTGACTTTTACCCTGATCTAATACAACATCCAACTGCCATGCATGTGGGCATTGTCACTTTAACTATACCTCTCACAAATGTCAATGGTGAAGTCCTCTTTAAATCCAAAATATTTGTTGTTGATTGAAGGCATGTATCATAGTTCCCATTGATTTTGCTTGTAAAGCGGGGAGAATGGCGCTCGGCTTACCGTACCGTGACATCACTGCCCCAAGATGTCAGGAGTGAGGTGTTACTCTATTTGGTCAAAAATGGCTGGTCCTGCACTCAGTGATTGTGACGAAAAGGATAATTTTTATTTCTTTACCGATAAACTCTAAATTCCTTAAATTACCGCAAACATATAAGTTTTAGGTATAAATAATGATCCATTGATTATTCCTTCCTAACCGGAATTTTTCTTTAAATTGATTTTTCACCGCTTCAGGGTTTTCGGTTGCATTGACATATGTCCAGTGAATGGGTAGTTACTAATTACCGCCTGTGCTTACTGGTGAACGGCTATTCTACATGCTATGAGCAGGACTGAATTGCATTTTATCCTACCAAAATATCAATATTTCTACATTTAAAATGGCCATTGGAAGTGTTGGGATTTTAAGTTTTATATATTAACTCACTACACCTCGGTTCTTGGCTTTAATCTGTCAGGGGCACAGAACGTTGGACCCAGATTTTAAGCAGACAGATCAGATCGAGAAACAAGCATTTATTGATGCAACGTGTGGCTGCTCGTTAGCTGGGACGGGCTCACTGGATACTCTTGTTTAAACGGAAACTCAGGTCAGTGACTTCAGAACTCAGACTGGGAACGATGATGAGAATGAAATTCACCAACCTGGTAAAGTTCAGTTTGAGCAAAGAATAAGAATAAGGAGAAGCTTGTGACAGAGCCGATTCCAGAGATCCAGGAGAGAAGAGGAGCAGCGACCAGCTGCAGCCAGAACATCCAGAAGAACAAAGGATCCAGAGCAACAAATCGAAGCTGGGGTCAGAACACAGGTCCAATGTTGATAACAGGCGGAATCCAGGTAACAATCCGGAAACAGGGCAGGAACACAGAGCAGAACAGGGGCGACCAAAACGTAGAAGTCCGGGGGCAGAAACAGGTCTGGATCAGGTTGACTAAACACATCAGGGTATGCTAGAATTAATCTCACTGAAAGCTAGAATAATCTGGCACCAATGGCTGGGAACAGGTAGCTTAAATAGGAGCAGGAACAGGTGGATATGATTATAGACAATGAGCGCAGGGCAGAGCAAAGAAGATGAGAGAAAAAAGAACCAAACCTAGCCATAGGTGCCAAGATCTTGACATTATAGTTGTAAGAATGTTAAGTTGGTTTGTAGAAACGTTTCTGACAGTTATTCCTGGGGGTTGCACAGCTGTCAGTGAAAGTGGCCTTTAAATCTTTTAGGCTTGGTAGTAGATCAGTTGTCTGAACACTTCAAAC